GAACACGAGCAGAGAAAGTCCAAGCACAAGCTGAATACATAGAAGCAAACAAGCAAGTGAAGAGGAGCATTAGAGCTGACAAGAAGAAATACGTGGAAAAACTAGCAAAGACGGCGGGAAAAGCTGCTAGGGAAGGAAATATGAAACAGCTTTACGATATAACGAAGAAACTAGCAGGGAAATACAGTAAACCAGAGAGACCGGTCAAAGACAAAGAAGGCAATTCAATCACTGAAATCCAACAACAGCGGAACAGATGGGTAAAATACTTCGAGGAACTCCTGAATAGGCCGGCTCCAATCAATCCACCAGACATCGAAGCGGCACACACAGATCTTCCCATAGACGTCAACCCACCAACGAAGGAAGAAATCAGAATGGCCGTCAGACAAATCAAGAACGGGAAAGCAGTGGGACCGGACAACATACCAGCTGAAGCACTGAAGTCAGACATCGAAGTAACTACAAATATGCTTCAAAAAGATTTGGTTGGAGGAACAAGTGCTGATGAACTGGAAAGAAGGACACCTCATCAAGATTCTAAAGAAGGGAGATCTGAGCAAATGTGAAAACTACAGAGGCATTACACTACTGTCAGTACCAGGAAAAGTCTTTAAAATAGTGTTGCTGAACCGGATGAAAGATGCAGTAGACGCTCAACTTCGAGATCAACAAGCTGGATTCCGTAAGGATCGGTCGTGTACAGACCAAATTGCGACATTACGGATCATCGTCGAACAATCAATTGAGTGGAACTCAACACTGTACATCAACTTCATTGATTATGAAAAGGCATTTGACAGTGTAGATAGGAGGACGTTACTGAAACTTCTTCGACACTATGGAGTTCCTGTGAAGATTTTCAATATTATCCGGAACTCATATGACGGACTACAGTGCAAGGTCATCCATGGAGGACAGCTGACAGATGCATTCCAAGTAAGGACCGGAGTAAGACAAGGCTGTTTACTCTCGCTTTTCCTTTTTCTTCTGGTGGTCGACTGGATTATGAGGACCTCGACATCTGAGGGAAAACACGGAATACAATGGACAGCTGCGTTTCATTTTATCATGTCATTCAACATTTATCTAGTTCATCATCCTCACATCAAGATACCAGTAATGGGCAAATGATGAGAAACATGGTATGTGAGATTGTACACTCCAGAAGTGAACTCTCCAAAAGCACAACCTTTCTCCAAACTAATCTTTGTAACTCTGCGATTTTCTAATGAGTGCATTCCGTTTACTTTTAAATTACTCTTTATAATGAATCAATGATAATTGACTAATGTGCAACAATATGAATTATTGGTTTACCATTACGTATTGTTAACATGAAAGTATATCAATTACGACATGTTCATGCTAACCATCAACGTCAGTGCCAGAAATCACCAAACGTTTAAACTTCACTAGCGTTTAGATAGTAATGTTGATAATAAAAGTAGGTTAGTTCGAGTAAACATTCAATGACAAGGAAAACACATTTAGAACAACACATATAAGCGAACAATATTGTTTTCAATTAGATTGTCATCAGGCTTTACTCTAATATACATGAATATTTATAAGAAATTTTTTTAAACCAATCAAGGCAATATGAATCAATAATCACAATGAAATAGAATAAGTCACTACACATAGTAGGTAAAAGTACAAGTTGATAGTAGGAAGTCAGATGAACTGATCATAGTGAGAATAATAAAATACAATAACAAAACTTTTATCAATAGTTAATCGTTGGAAATAGAAGGTCAAATAAACATGGGTAAATAGACTAGGAATAGTAATCACAAAACATTAAAATCATTACGTAATAAGATGTGTGTAAATAATTAGATAGTGAAGAATACAAAGAGGCTGGAAATTACAAACAAATAATGGATGTGAAAATAAGGTTAATGATAACACAGATAAAATCAAATAAATAATGATAATAATAAAATTTAAAAAAAATTGTTAGTTAAGTTATAACTGGCCATGGAAGGGATAGGGGGGTCACGAATTTCTTCTGTACACATAAATTGGGGTTATATGTACGAATTCCAATGGCTTCAGCTATATATAGGAGACGGGAACGGACTCCGTCGGGAAATGATGAAGGTATACGATAGATAACTCGAAATGATTTCGATTTATCTACTGAATGACCGCTATCAATAAGATGTGCCAATATAGAACTGCGAATAGATTTCCTCTGGCCCTTTATGTACCAAGTTGGTAGATGTTCACTCATTTCTCAATATTAAACCACTATTGATCGATTCAAATGTACATCTAAACAATCATTCGTCTACTGCTCAATCACTACACTATAATCATTCATTTATTATATTTACTTTTCTCGATTTGCCGCGAAATTCAATCATCCTATTATCACATATTTCAAAATGACCTTTCCAATAATAGTTGATATCCCTGTATTATCGTCAAATATCGTCCATCACAATACACTTATACAGTCACTACTATTTTTCACTCTGCAGGTTTGTAGATAAATACAAAGTACTTATTTCCATTATTTTTACACTAACGGAAATTTCCATCACAGTCTATTCTATCTTTTAATTTCAACAATCACACTGTTCATTTTAACTTCCAAGTCTGATATTAACCAAAAATGAATCATTGTCGTGTTGGATAACGAAAGTCAATCAGAAGTAGCCTAATGAGTTGGTCAATCGATGTCAATCAGAAGTGATCTAAAGGACAAGTGCATTTCATTGAGTTGAGTAGGAAATGGATCAATTTCCTAATGGTTATTGTGGTATTTATATGAATGAGTATTTGTCCATTTTATTCGGTTGTCTAACACAAGTCATTAAATTTACCGCAAACCACCATTGTTAACAGATTTCTTATGAATCAATGTTTACTCTCTTTAATTATATCTTGGTGACATTTAACAAATCAGCGTATTCGAAAACTAGCTCAATTAGGACAACAAATCAGAAAACAATTAAATATTTAGCTTTTATTTCGTCACACTAACATATCGCTCAGTATTTTATCCGTTACATGTTTTATTTTTGCCTCCAAGTTTGAAAGGTAATTTTTCCAAAAAGCAATTGAAAGTGCCAGCTAAACGTAAGTATAAATTAGTCCTGCAAAAAGTCATTCATAATAATAATAATAATAATAAATGTATATAAAATAAATGACTAAAAGAATTTACTCATTTATTGCAACGATATGGGTGCTACGAAACACTCGAAATTGTAAGCATCTGTATGTACTATGTAAATCACTGAGTGACAATCATCTCCCGTTAATGTGATACAAGAACACGAAATATGTGTGAAGGGTAACCGATTTCTCATTACTTGGTTCTACTGTTAGAAATCCACAATGAGGTATACATTATCTTGTCTATGATGAGATGACATTTTCGAAATAGTTCTTCACTGGAATATTTTTTGCCTTTGCTGAATGAAGTAGAACAGTATGGACATTAGATCCTTGTGTTATTCTGTTGGTCAATACTTAAATCTGAACCCATTCAGTTGGCGAGCCAACAACTGGACCAAACACGCATCATGAATTCCCACATCAATATAACAATAATCAACGAAATAAGACAAATATCACTTCCATTGATTGTGTTTGATAATAATTTCCGTAACAAATGATTTAGAATTGTAGAATGACATCCAACTTACCACGTATTCAATATAAGAAGTCTTAAACAAGAATTTGTCAATCACATTGATTACTCATGCTTATTTCAATTATTAATAACAAATCACAATAACTGACTTTATAATATGGGGATGAATTGAGAGGAACGTAATGATGGAATGTTATCTGCAATGTTCAATATAATCAGAGAAGCTATCACTGACAGTTATTTAATATTAATCCTCTAGAATTCTTTCAATTTGTTGAGGTGGCATGATCACCTTAATACGATTCCCAGAATATTTCCGGTGTAATTCATATAAGCAATATCGAATCTATCAAACACAAATGTAACACTGTTGAATAAGACTAGTCATGCTCAAATATGAAGTAGTATTCATATTGGAAGAACTCACTATTTAACTTTTCGAAGTGATTAGTAACTTCAAGTTCGAATTTTCACCTACCAACCTCACATGCATGATAATAATATCGTATTCTACTCCAACTAGTCAAGAATAATTCAGTCACGACAATATTCACATTAGCTTATAAGTAGCAAGATAAATGTTCTCTGAGACTGAGGTCAAACAAAATAGTAAACTAGTCAATCCAATTCTCTCATATTTTGTGTCCCATACACTCTGAGACAGTAGAACACATTAATAAATAGTATGTCTAAAATCAACACTTCCTGAATAGTCACACATTCAAAGAAGGAAGGACAAATGAGCCACAGAACATATCAGGTGAAATAATGACATTCACAAAATAATTATTATGCTTACTCCACATCGAAGATCACCAACAAAATCATTGACATTACGAAAATCAATATCGTTGGTTTGTGTTGTAATGTTCTTATTAGAATGGAACAGAGCAAATCTATTCATTGATGTTAAATTACTGATAGTAAGTATATCTATTGTCGACTTGAATGAAATAAACAATCATAACTACCTACAATGCTTCAATATCATGAATAGTTATTATCAATATGATTAAAATTTGATTAACTTACACACTTACTTCTTACAGAATATGTTTCATTCATATACTCAAATGCTAAAACCTTAAAAACTGTTTTAACTCATCTGTGAGAAACAGAGAGATACACACTACTCAGACTGTTTCTCATGATGTCACCTTACTGAAGACAAATATTCCATAAGATATCATCCAAACAGTTTATCGTATAAGACTTCTGAACACAAAATTATTTGAACTAAACATTGTTGCAACTATTCGTGCTACCATTCTGTGTTTGATTCATTTAGTAACTGACACTCATGAGTAACTATTGTATTTCAACTTATTGGAATTATAGCACAAACTAAGAGTCCCAGAAATAACGCAATTGAATTAAGAAGACACAGGCACAAACGAATGTACTGTATTTGGAATTCGAAATTGTGCAATCAACATGTACAAAAGTATCATTAGTCAATTCAAACACCACATCCGCCACAGCTTAAATAGAAGTATAAGTGTTTGCAATCGGTTGTATGTTTTCTTGTTAAGTTCATCCTGAGTCTGTCCGACATTGTACTGGATGAAAACTTTTTAGTATCTAGAATGTGCTCATTAGTATGAGAATTAACAAACGAAATCGGAACAGACTCACCTTGAATTGTATACAATCAACATATCGGTTTTGTACTGAAATGATTCATATCTCAAATTGGAATCATAGATTTTTCAACGCTATCCCCCCCCCACGAAATAATGTTGGGTCTTTATATTCCCAAGTTATGAATAATGTGGCTTCATTTAAAACATATTTCTCACATTGATTAGAGTAAACATTAGAAGTGTTTTTGTGATAAGGATGAACAACAGTTGATATGAAATCATCAGAATTGTAATCAAAACCGAGCTCATTTAGTATTCGTGCTTTGCATTGAACAAGTTTTTCACAAGGAGCAAATGCATTATGAGGATATGTAATACATATGACATCAGGATTTGATTCTACTGAAATATTTTCATGAAATTGACTAAGAATGTCATTGCAGAGCAATGGATCATTAAAAAAATTAGCATCTATCATGACTGCCTCAGGTTTTTGATAATGAATAGGTTCATTTAACATATTTTCCTCAGATTTGTAAGAAATTTCATCAGAAATATGTGAATCATTAGGAAAAGTCATACCTGGTACAATAGCATGAGAATTCTGATAAATCGGTTGATTAGGAACTGTTGTCTCACAAGAATTCTGGATTTCATTTAACTCTGAACTGCTTTTTGACTCTTCACTGTCTATTGCAATAGTTGATAAAGATAAATCATCATTATAAATACTCGACTCAGTAGAATCAGAATTACAAGACTTAATATTAGTTGCAATAACATGAACATTAGTATTGCACACTGACTGAATATATCCAATATCATCACATTTAAAGCATTTAGAATTACGAAATTTACTTGAATTAAAAGCATGGAACTTGCCACAGGACAAACACTGACCAAACTTGTGCCCATCTTCTTGAAACGCACTGCAACTCCGCAATGAACTATTTGCATAACCTTGAATATGCACTGGATTAGGATAACGTGATGTGGTAGAACGTTTAATGTCCTGATGAATCATTTTAGGAAATTCCCCTTCTTTACTGCAATCAAAATTTGCATACCTGACATGGTCTAGTAGTAATGCCTTGAGAGTTGTATAAGGAAGCGAAATGGGTTTTTCCGGCATAGCCAGCGTTCTTAATAAACTGTATGCTTCTTTACCGATGAATGTGAGGAAATATGCCACAATATTAATATCCTCATCATCTTCCATGGTCATGACCCAGATTTCGAACCTTTCGAAATAATCCTCAAATGCTTCCGAAGTTGAATGAATGTCTAACTTTTCCATTGCAGGTTCCATCACGACGCCAGTATTGTATTTCAACTTATTGGAATTATAGCACAAACTAAGAGTCCCAGAAATAACGCAATTGAATTAAGAAGACACAGGCACAAACGAATGTACTGTATTTGGAATTCGAAATTGTGCAATCAACATGTACAAAAGTATCATTAGTCAATTCAAACACCACAGTAACACTTCACATTATTCCGTTCCACTCACCTCCTTTTCCTAAAACAACAACAACAATAAATGGAAATATCGTGTGATGTTAACTGATGCTAAATCATAACATATTCATCGTAATTTTATCAATAATGCTAAGTAGAAGAAGAAGTAGCGGAAGAAGAAGACGTCACTTCACCTCACATAGGACACAAATATAACAATGTTTCAATATTATCAATGTTCAACTCAACTCTCATAAACATTGAATTAACTGAATTTCTGGCTCTCATCCATAGTTCAGTTTACTTACTAGTGATTCACCTGAACCGATAACCCTTTTCTTGTTATTACCAGACAATGTCAATCATCGTTCAATTGAAAACTTATCTAATTCCAGACAGTGTCAACACGCGTTCACACCATTCTCTAATTCCTTCACATATACAGTGCCAAATATCACTGTTTCTCTGTCATTAAACCAGTATGAGTAAAACTAACCATTTTATCAATTATTAACACTTCAATGCCCGTAGAACGCATATCATGACAGATTTTAAGTGAACAAATCAGCTTGAATTCCCAACTGATATCTCAATTGAAAGTAGATCAGATTTCTCCATTCAGCAAATCAAATTACTGCCATTATATCAATGTGTCACAAGAATTTCAGTCGAAATTCATAAACTTGGATGCTCATTCATACTACACAGAAATTAGATAGTAATTGAGAAAGAATTATATTTCACGACCAACTGCATACAAAGCACTGACCATTCCATCACTGTACAACAATAACATAGTCACTAACTCACCAGTCGCCTCTTGTACTAAGAAAATTGAAATCAATGACACTATACCAATTAACATATCAATTCAATCTGATACCAAACCAAATCTCAGCTACATTAATACTTCTTCATTAATGGAATGAGTGAAAGACATGTTATGACTGAACATATAGTTTGCTTAGTGTAAATAATGTATTTAATTAACAAAACGCTTTATTTACCTTCAATTCACGTGTCATGTAATTCGATAATAATTTTATCATAATCGAATCGATTAATCACATTTAATTCTTGCTTATATAAAGGGAACATATGGAACTGAAAACAACCATCAACCAACATCAAAGTCACAATCTTCAATACGAGAGCCAACACAGTTGTATCAGTTGAACGTAGCTGAAATTTTGAGATCTACCATTACCATCATCAACAATGTACAAGTATTCATAAACAATTGTCTACTCAAGATACTCAATGTTCAATGGCTAAATACCATCGGCAACAGACTACTGAAATTAGAAAAGGACGATGAAGGTGGATGGGACATATATTACGGAAAAAAACATTAAATCACATCACGAAGCAAGCGCTTACCTGGAATCCTGAAAAGGAACAAAAATCAAGAAGATCAAAGAACACACGGAGTCGAGAATTGGAGGCAGACATGAAAAAGTTGAGTGGAAACTGGAAACAACTGAAAAGCATTATCCAAGACAGAATCCGATGGAGAATACTAGTGTGTGACTAAGGCTCCTCGACGTGGACAAGATGAGTAGGTAAATAATTACATAACGGTAAAAAGATTGTATAAACACGAAAGTGGTTGCTTCATTGCTGTTAATTCCTACTATTAAAATTCATCTAACGAAACAATCATAATGTTCCACTTAACAGACATTCAATTGTACAACTCGTCACTCTCAATTCTAAACTGTAAGATATCACAGGTACCCAGTCAAGGAATCCCAAATAATACACACTTTATTGGAAATAACTTCAGCTTTGACTTATAATCCACTGTCATATAATTAATATCAATTTGTGAAAAATGTTTCATTTCGGACATCCTCAACTGAATCGACTCCAATGTCAAGAGGTGTCAGCTCTTGTTAATACATTTTATTCTCTTTCAAACTTTATCTGGCTAATCGCATCTCAACAAACAATTCAACACTAAGCACCAATATAATTCATTCCAAATACGTAAGAAATAAGGAAATCAGATACTGATTTATACCATCACCACGACAAGTGATCTAATTAATTAAATCACTTACACAGAGTTCTTTCTAAATGATACCTAATCAATCTGTAATCTAATATTCACTGAATCAATCTTAGTGCTTATCATTCAATAAAACCTTTGTATCTAACCAACTCATAAAATATTAGTTCGGAATGATGGTCACAAATCAGATAACGTGGTCATAAATTATATCTCCAGACTCTATCCTGTTGAAACAAACATGAATGCTGAAAATGCAGCTATTTCATCCATGTCACTTTTACATATGTTTTAATATCTGATTAATGTACCCTTGATCAAGATTCGACAGAGAACAAATACACATATTGTTAGATGTATCCTCATGTGAAAAATAAGGAAATCAATTGTCTATCATTCGAAGTGATATGTTTTGTGAAACGTTGAGTTGTTTCCGCTTTTGTGTTGTCATTATTTTGATTTCATGAAATGATTGGAACAGTTTGCGAATTCCCATTTCACATGGACGTGTTCGTTGGGACTTTGTTTGCAAGCAATATCAGTCGCGTTTAGCTGATCACAATACGTGCTATTCCATTCTACTACACAACTGTTCCCATGTTACAGTTTCCTGACTACACTCGTATGATTGTGATATTCCATAGTGCATCATCATAAATAGTTAATATCTGAGTATTTTTACATGGATAGAAAATATGTAAAGTGTATTTAGTTTTAGAAATAGATAACTGAATGCATATGGTGTCATCTTAGTATCGTCAAATGTTTGATTTCGGAAATTTATCTTTTTCGAGATTACATTTTGTATAGAACGACTCATTTGGTTAATACGCTCTCACAAACATCCCTAAACATATTTCCAACAAATGGACGGTACTCATCGCTTTTATGAATAATTCCTATTCAACATCATATCTTACACCAAACAATTATGGAAGGTTTATAACGACTGTTGATCAACTATTCACAACTGATAATATCAATTTATGACTCAGGTTGATTTAAATAGTGTTAAAAGTCCAGCACTTTATTCATCTCACAGAATCTATATATTTCTATCAATTTATACAACATTACATGGCTGGTAGACATCAATAACAAATCGAATCGTGCTGTGATGAGAAGTACGTCAAATGTCTACATAATTCGGGCTACACTGTCCGACTGAAACAGATGTGAATAAGCCAAAGATCGTCCGACTCTACATAGATGGGATTTGTTGTGCTACCTCATTCTGAATTCATCCAATATTAGCAAGATTGATAACATGAAAATCAGGAATTATCTCTCTCATTCTGCATCAACCCTTCATTTTAATAACAAAATAGGTATAACTGTAAGTGAACTGTTTAAATAAGCACACAGATATACAGACTCTGATGCATCAACCGTACAACCTACCGTATATAGATCTTCATCACTTCACATCCCTACTTCCAACAATTAATGCATTCTGACATTTTACAACCTCTTACTATCCGATCCGTCAAATAGATGATCATGACAACAGAAGATTTGTGATTTTATGGACTGTGATTGAAGTGTTGTCGATTCTTTCACTAAATTGTTCATTCCCTTCTTATTTCCAATCACTTAGTATTAAAGATGTATATTTCCATGTAGTTCTTCGATACCACTTGGGTGTATTTGCACTGGCATCGTCATCAAAATAACTCTTCGTTTCCATAAAATCACTTTGTTTAACAAAATCTGATTTATAAATAAATATTTGATACTAACTTGATAACTGAATCTGATTCATGTCACAGCAATTGAACAGGATTCTGTTCAGTTATGAAATATATGAGAGAAATGGATTGGTTGTTTTATATAATAACCGCGCGCTACGGATTGGACGTTACTTTCACGTCGAGGTTTTTAGTTTTGTTTTTCTAGGATTCTCGCAGAGTTGGATGAGTTATTTTTCCTTGGATTAATGGAAGTGAACTCAATTCTCAACAATTAACATATAAACTGTGAATTCCATGCCATATGATAAGTTCTGAGTTTAACTTACGGTATTTATGACCATATTCATACAATAATTCATATTTATATAATTACATATATTCATTTTGACTATACTATCAAACTATACTCTGTCACTTTGAAACCATATATAAGCATATTTGACGAAGATTTGCATTTCATATCTGTATTCTATTCCTTAAGAAATATATGGTTATATCGTATTTGAATGCTTTAACCCACGTACTTTATGTATCTACAGGATCTATTCAAACCTCTACCTAATATCAAGAAATATATATAACCGTGTATGTTAAAGGACTGTATTCACTATTCTATGAACTATCATTTAAATCGTATTTGGACACTATAAATCATTTAATTTCCAAAGCTACCTGTCCAATTCGGATCTATTCAAACCTCTACCTAATATCAAGAAATATATGTAACCGTGTATGTTAAAAGACTGTATTCACTATTTTATGAACTGTCATTTAAATCGTATTTGGATACTATAAATCATTTAATTTCCGAAGCTATCTGTCCAATTCGGTGAGTCTGTCATAGTTTTTTTTTTGACAGTACTTTTTTTTTTTCCAAAAGCTGTTCCATACATTTGTTCAAGAAGCAACATAATAATCTTAGACGGTAATAATCTTCTAAACTACTTGTCTCTGCACCTCCCAATTTTTACTAATACGGACTTTCAGTTTATATATGTACCACGTACCGTACTTTTTTTTTGATTGTTTGATATTAATTATCGACATTTCTAAATTAATTTACTGTTTTTAACATCACTAATCCTCACGATACATTGACTCTTGGTTAAAACATAGATTTTGATTTTTAGACTAACTTGAGCCCTCGGAATTGATTTTTTTTCACCTCTTTCTGTTTCCAACATTCTGTTCAATCCACTTGCTATACGTGACTTTCTTATTATGCCACAAAATAAAATGAAGACCCCTGCTTCTAGGCGTTCAGCCAAACGTAGGAAAACGACACAATTTAACACCACTACTGACACAATTTCCAACAGTTTCAACGAGACGAGCCACTCCGTTCATCCGGAAGCAGACAAGCGTTTACCAGTTGTCTCCATTCCAGACATGTTGAAAACTCTGATGGTAAACAGTGATGATAATCGCAACTGCAACCATATGGATGCTATAAAAAAGTTGCAAGTAGACATGAACATTCTCAATCCGCTTAAATATCTCATCAACCCCAACCTCACAGAGATTCCCGATCAAATGAATGACATTAATATTTTCCTAGATCGTGTTGCATCAGAGGTATTTGAAAGAATAAGACGATCTAGTAATGCAATTGTGTTTAATATACCGGATACACATGCCCTTAAAAAGATCAAATCTAGTCTGCTTAGAGCCAGCAATATGACACACGTACCATGTGTATGCACAAGATTAAAAAGAAGTCATCCTGGTATGCACTCACCGATCTTGTTCAAATTCAACTCATCTGTAGACGCCAGTGAATTTTTAAATTCCTCCAATTCATTGAGACAAAAACAGATTTTCAAGGATATTAAGACTCTTCCGGATAAAACACCATGCCAGCGAAAAGCAGGAAGAGATAACTACAGACCACCAGCGTCAAACTCTCAAACGCATCATAATCCTAATGGTCGTAAAGTTAAGTCGGATTCTAAGAGGACGTCTAGCTTAGCAAATTTGCCGCCACCGAAAAACTCTTCTGAATCTCCTAAAGTTCAAAACCCAGAAGAAAGTAATCCCGATGTAGGTGGTGTCCATCCTCTTAAGAATGTTGATTTAGATTCAACCCGAAGTAGTTGTGCTGATGAAGAATGGGATAACACAGTCCAAACCCCTGTTAGTGCAACACCCAGTTACAGTAACTGTGCAACGGATAACA